TACAAGTCAAGCTCTTGTAGATACTTAGGTGAACGGATGTGGGGTAACCTTTGGATACACACAATTAAATAAATGAGATAATGCGTAGATATGTGTTGACTTAGGGATGGAAAACCGGGTCGGAAATGTCGTCACTTTGTTTTCATTTTGTCCAAGTCAACAAACATTTATCAACCATACGTTAAAAGAAACATATACGAACGTTTCGATTAAAATTGTTTTCGGATATCCACGCAAGGCTACACAAAGGGTTATCTACAAAAAACCGTCTCTAATTTTGAGCTGATAGACTAGAGAAAAGACATCTATTCAAAAAGTACCCACCGCCAACAACTACTGAATTATGTTTTGTCTGATCAAGTAGTAGATTTGACTATCATTTTTATACTACACCCAAAACCCAAAAGTGTGAAGGGTTTTTTTTTGTGGCAAAGGACGTGAACCATGGACCCTTGGATTCACAGTCCGGGCATGCTAACAAGTAGATTAAACCCCGTACTTAAGGCATCTGCCTTAACCAGCCCAAATTAAGTAGTTAGAGTACGTTTAGAATTTATTTCTTGTAAATGAGAATTACATGCTCCTTTAAAAACTTTTTATTTTTAACGCACTACTATAAAGTCATTAAAATCTGACCAGAACTGGCGAAACCTGTTCAGTTACAAACCGTTCAACTCACTTGTAAAAAATGGAAGCTCACGTTAGGAAACATTTTATTAGACTCTTAGATTTGTTTCTTTGTTAAATTTCGCACAAAGCTACTCGAAGGTTATCTGTGATAACCGTCCATAATTTTGAGATGATAGTCAACACAATCAATTGCCAACTCCTGGGCTACTCTAATCGAATAGTGGGATTTGAACCTCACTCTCACAGAGCGTGAACAACCCCAAAGAAAGGAGCGCGAGCTGGAGGAAAGGGGCGCAAACCACAGAACCTCGGATCTACAATTGTGGCACGCTAACGACTGGACCGCTAATCATGTGAAGTATACTCAACAATAGCCGTGTGCAGTATTGTTCATATTAACCATGTGAAGTATATTCAACAATAACCGTGTGCAGTATTGTTCGATATTAACCATATATATTCAACAATAACCATGTGTAGTACGATTCAGCATTAACCATGTGCAGTATAATTCAATATTGACCATGTGCAGTATAATTCAGTATTGACCATGTGCAGTATAACTGGAAATACAAGGTTTTTGCACTAGATGCCTCGAATCGTAGTTGATAAAATGTGACTCCTCTTTACTTGTACAATGTAAATACAGTACAATATAAATAAATAAAGAACATTAATATAATCTTTCCAGATTTCATGTTTATGAAAATATTAACTGAGAATGTTATTCACTGGTCTGGATAAAGAGCTAGAATTGAACTTTTTTATGTGAAATTAAGAGTAAAGGGGTTGATTTCTGCGTTAGAGAGTATCTGTCTGTGTCTTAATGACAAGTTAATCTATTTAGGAAACGTAAATAAAACAACGTGAGATTAGACTGATAGTGATGTGGAAAAGATTTGGTCATGGTGAATGTAGCCCCCCAGTGGCACAGCGGTATGTCTGCGGACTTACAACGCTAGAATCCGGGTTTCGATACCCGTGGTGGGCAGAGCACAGATAGCCCATTGTGTAGCTTTGTGCTGAACTTCAAACAAACCATAGTGAATGTAACTGAATTTTCAGTTGATGATCAAGAGCTGATGAGTCTGAAGAGCCAAATGTTCCTGGATTATTTGATCCCTTGGAGATGTAATTGTTTGGAAGAACTTAAATAATTCCAGAGTGTCAGTATAGTTTCCTCTGTTTCGAGGCAATACAATTTATAATTCTGTAACTAAATATAACATTAAATGTTTACCAACACAATTTAAAATATATGTTATATAACGCCAAATATCTCGTAATATAATGTCAAAATAATATAATATACGTTTCCATAGTTTCTCATAATTTCCTTTACTGGTTTTTTGTAACTTTCCTGGTTATTTTCAGAGTTAAGTGTTTAATAAAACTAAAGATGTATATAAAGTTCATACTCATTTCACCTAAAAACTCTGAGAGTGAAAAAGTTGGTTTTATGGACATTTTAGCCGTACGGTATTTGCCATAAAACAGGGAAGTTTTTGTTACTTGCTCATTGCTTTAAGTTGATCAGTAAGTTATCTAAATAATAGCTTTTATAATAGACTGTTAATTACGACAAAGAACCAATCAAACAAGTCTTTGTAAAGGCCTTTAAAATAATTTTTGATCTGATGTCAAAGTTTTACAATTAACTAGTTGTTACCAGTACGTTACATCTTGAAAATTCCGTTTTTTGGTATCTTTTTTTACCCACAGCAATCATATTAAAAGACTCATTACTCAGTCACGAAGAACGTCACAGAGGCATATTCGTTTTTACATTCAAAATAGGCATGCTGGAAAGCTTAGCATTATAAAAAGATGGAGCTTCTGACATTCTTAATCAAACTCCCTTTGGGCAAACATTGACACACATATTTTAGTACTACATGAGGAATAATAATGGTGACTGAAGATTGATGATGTCCTGGATTAAGAGATCACAGCATTATATACAATATTCTATGATGCCGTCCCTCTCAGTGCGCATGTGTTAACCACATCACTGATGTTCATTCCAATAGAAGAGTAAGGGAGTTGTATACTTCAGATTCACATAATGAATTTTATATTGCAGCAATCTTTCCGACGAGAAAGCGCATGCTACACCATAACTGCCTTATTGAAATTACTAATCTATTACTCTAAAGTTTTAAATATTAACACATTGTTTAATCATCAATATCTTCTAGTAAAGAAATCCTGAAAAACTTTCCTTCAGTATCTATGCCACAGATGACCTAGTAGTTAGCGTTGAGAGCTGCATCTATGAAGTCCAAAGTTCAAGCTGCAGTATGCCGATGAACACGCTCCGCTGGTGAGCCCAATTGTCACATGAGGTGTTATTTAGGTTGAAAATACAACTTACCACACTTCGGTAATGTCTAAGTTCAGAGTACAATCCATCTGACCAGTTGACAAGAGCTTCATTGAATGAATTATGAATTAGAGCAGTTTACATATAGTAGCAATGTACTCCTGTTACTACCTCTTGATAGTACATAAACCATTGAAAAACTATTAGGCTACGCGTTTAACGCAGCTCAATCTGTTTGTGAGATCCTTAAAACTGTTAGTTGAATTATTTTAAGCAATGCCTAAGCCAAGAAACTGTTTTAGAGTTATTTATGTTCCAGATAATTGTCTTTAAGTTATTTTTGACCAAAATCTGTTTTTGAATTACCACTGATCCAAAAACCTATTTTGGAGGCATTTCTGATCTATAAAACAATTTTTGGGGGTGTTTCTGATCCAAAAAACACTGTCAGAGTTACCTGCAATCCAAGAAACTATTTTTAGGTGTTTCTGTTTCAGATAACTGCTTTTGAGTTATTTTTCACTCAGAAATCTGTTCTTGGGGTGTTTCTGATCCATTAAACCATTTTGGAAGGGTTTCTGATCCAATAAACCATTCTTGACGTGTTTCTGATCGAAAAAAGTGTTTTTGATCGAGTACATGGCTAGGTGGTTAGGGTGCTCTACTCACAATCTGAGGGTCGCGGGTTTGAATCCCCGTCCCACCAAACATGCTCACCATTTCAGCCATGGAGGCGTTATAACGTGATGGTCAATCCCACTATTTGTTGATAAAAGGGTAGCCCTAGAGTTGGTAGCGGGTGGTGATGACTAACTGCCTTCCCTCTAGTATAATAATGTTAAATTAGGGACGGCTAGCGCAGATAATCCTCGTGTAGCTTTACGCGAAATTCAAAAACCAAAATTAAACTGATCGAGTAAACTGTTTTTGATCCAGTAAATTGTTTTTAAAGTGTTTCTGATCCAGTAAACTGTTTTTTGTTGTTTTTTTTTAGTTTCTGATCCAGTAACGCTGGATGCGATGAAAAGTTTGCAAATGACACACTAGCGTTCAGGAAACAAATCTCATTTTTACAATGTTCGTAATTAGGCGCTTAACAAAGGAGCTTGACCGGAAGCCGTGTTTTCAAACTCACTTTGCTCATACACGTGCTTAAACACCTACATTACAATAGCTTGTCATAAACTTCACGCCCACCAGTGGCACAGCGGTATGTCTGCGGACTTACAACCCAAGAATCCGCGTTTCGATACCCGTGGTGGGCAGAGCACAGATAGCCCATTGTGTAGCGTTGTGCTTAATTACAAACAAATATAAGCTTCATTGTAAAAAAAAATAGGAAATATTTTCTTTTAGAAATTCTCACTTTCAGCCTATTAACTCTTACAATATTTGTATATTTTTATTTACAGGAGAAAGTTATTATTATTTTTTCTTGGCATTTGAAATACTAGTGAACAATGAGTAGTTTTATAAGTCAAGATGACTCTTTAACTTAAGAGGCAAGGATAATCGGGAATAACGTAAAAACTAAGTGCTATAAATTAAACGTAACTGTTATGTTTAATGTTAATGTATCAGTTAGAGCTAGTACATGTTCATATTTTTAATAAAATATTAGCTCACATTAACCTTCATAGCTTTAAAAGTTTAAGCACTCATCGCTCTTCAAATAACTTTCAAAATCCTGCGTATGCAAATCACGGTTCTCTGTCGTTTATTTCTACAGTACGTGTGAATGTAGTAAAAAAAAAAAAAAAGAAGAAAGAAAGAAAGAAAAAGTTATAAGTAATTATATTTAACCGCTTTATTAGCCTCCGGTTACTTACTTACCAGTTGTTTTTTTTCCCTTTTTTTTAAATTAAGAATATAACAACTATGAAATTTGAAAAGTTTCAAAATAATTTCACATTTTTGGTTATCCAGTATATTTTAAATAGCCATTACACGTGATAAATAGTAACTGATCTTACACATTATTTTGAAGCTTGTTTAAACATGTAATGAATTAATGTGACAAAATGCAATTTCTTTTCGCCTACTTTAGCTTCTTGTCAGTTCCAGTGTCCCTCATCTTCAGGGTTCTATCCGGATACTGTCTATTGTGACAAATACTACGAGTGTAGAGGTGGAAAACCAATTCAGAGGCTTTGTGAGGATGGTTACGTGTTCAACGTCATCAGTCCTCTGTATTCACGTTGTGATTATCCATTCAACGTGGAATGTAGAAATCGTGAAGAACGACGTAAGTTTATCTTATCTTTGTTTGCCTGTCTGTCGTTCTCTGTCCTCCCCCAGTAGCTCAGCGGTTTGTCTGCGGAATTACAACGCTAAAAACTGGGTTTCGATACTCGTGAAGGGCACAGCATAGATAGCCCACTGTGTAGCTTTGTACGTAACCTCAAACAAACAAACTGCCGTTCTATCTATTTAATCAACCTACTGGACAGTTTTAATTTTCTTGGTTTGACAATAGTATTATTCAAAAACGTATCCTGAAATATTCTTTGAAGTCAATCAAAAATAGATTTGTATTTCAAAATGTAATTTGTAAAGCAAATTAAATCTTCAAATCAGCGAGATTAGTAATCTGCATTTTTTTTTTATTAAAGGTCACATTTATCTTGTTTGATGATCTGTATGTATAACTGTAACTATTTCAAAACTTTGTGGCTTCACACAGAACCGGCCCAACCTTCACCTTACTGTCCGCGAAGATTTGGATTGTTTCAAGATCCTAACCCTGGCAACTGTAGCTACTTCTGGCAGTGCGTGAACGGCAGAGCCACTAGTCATCGATGCCAGGACGGGTTAGCCTTTCATCCTCGGAAAGGAAATTGTCACTGGTCTCATACCGTCCCAGGATGTGAGCAGAAACTGGAAGGTAAAGTTTTTAAAATGTATGAAACATGCAAAACTGAGAAATATTTTAATTATCACAGATTTACGCACTTAAAACATCCTAAATCTAACATAACATCTTACAAAACGTAGTTTGGGCTTTAATGAACTGCTCTCTTTCTACTAGAAACAGACAAGTGTTGTTCAATACAGCCATAATTATACTATATCTACTGCCAAGGTTTGTGTATGGGCCGGATTTTTCACATTAGGTGTCTGTGACTTGTTGGCGATAAATTTCAACAATAAAGAAACAGCAAACAGTCCACTTGTTTTACAATGATATATTAAAACAAGTCAAACATACATACAAATGTTCGTTACATTGTTTGTTATTACAGTTGTATCCAGAACTTTAAATAATTGTCACTTTTTTGTCAAAAGCCACACAGGCTGGTTCAGTTATTTTAAAAGACAAGACGAATTCTTCTTCTCTACTCTGTTATTACAATATAATTTATGATAATTTCACTTTATAAATCGACACTATACACTCTTTATGGCTAGACTCACAATCATTCGGTCTGGATCTGTCTATATCGAACTATATTTTGAACCCGTATTTATAGCCCAACAGAGGCCTAGAACGTTCTACACACTACAAGATATTATGATGTAATAATACTCAATTAAAACAACTAGGAAAACTTAGATGGTTTTAGTAACATGACGCAATAATATAACAATCACCAATTCACAACAACTGAACTACACAAAGTATGATTCCGAAACAGTTACGCACAAACCCGTCGACAGGGGGACAAAGGGAGCAATTGCCCAGGGGCCCGAGCGAGAAAGCTGGTTATGTAGTAAAGCACTTTTTTACGCTTATACAGTGAGCTAAAAACGGCTGCTGCTTTGATTTCGCCTTGTTTATGAGCTTGTTGCTGTCCTAATTTAGGATCTTCTTTTTAATAAGTTCTTTAAAATGTTTAAAAAAAAGAGAAAGAAAGGAAACCCAGCGAGGATGTTTGCCCCGGAGTCCGTGCTGCTCTCGATGCACTTAGGTTAACGTAAAAAAAAAAAGAAAAAGAAAAACAACTTGCGATAGACTATCGCTTCTAAAAATAACTAAATTCAAAAATACTTAAATTGAAACAGTCGTGTTTATCTAACATCTACACTGCCTACAATACCGTTTCAAAAGTACCTAACAAAACTGTTCGTCTGTCTCAAAACAGTCATGATTATAAGTAGGCCTCCTCTCTGTTTTACCTGTTCACACGATGATCAGACAATGTCTATTCACAATCTTTGACTTGTGGTATGTCAATCCTAATTAATAGCGTTACATGAACAGCCTAAACAGCCTGTACTGTAATTTACACAAGTTTTAAAAGTAATCTCGTTTCAAATTACGAACTGTTTTAAATTCTGACAAACAAAATTTCAGAATCAATATGCAAAAAGCTACAAATAACATGAAATTATATGATGTTTCTATGAAAAACTATCTAGGCCTAGTCCTTTTCTCAAATATAAATAAGATACTTACTGTACGACACTTATCAAGTAAAGATGTTATAAATTATTGCAAGTAATAATCAACAAGTAGTTTTATTTTACAAGTTATGGCTTTTATAGCAAGGAAATGTTTTTATTTAAATGTCGTACCTGTTTGAATAAAAATCATTCCTTACTGAAGCTATAGCTTTAAAAAACAACAACTTATAATCAGTAAATAAACTCAAACGAAACTAATTAATCAACAAACACTTACAGAATGGTATTATTGGTTACTGCACAATGTTTACAAGTGTTTGCAGTTTCATAAATGTATTTTACATATAACTAGGTGGTAGGGTTATTGATGAAGTATCTTGTGGAACGTGACAGTGATGTTTAGTATCTAGAGCTCATATACTTAAAAGAGTAACTGTTTTATCTCAGTAAATAGTCTACGTAGCTAACTAAAGGGTAAGATTTTTGTTTTGTAAATATAAATACTTGGAGGGTAAAGTCATTAAGTTTATAAAGACATGACCACTGTGAAATGTGGACTTGACACAAATCCTCTCCACATTTTGTTACTGTCTCTCGAGAAACCTATAAATAACTTTAATTGAATAGTGTAATTTCTGAATAATTTATTGTTCACATCATCCTCAGTAGAACTGTAAAGGAGACTCCACGACATTAATTTCTGATCAAACATGAAAAATTGTGGGAATTAATCCAAATCCTTTTTTCGTTTGCTTTTCTGTGGTTCATCAACAGTGAGAGACCTTGATTTATTACTATACACATGGCCTTTTAGTTAATAGTCCTTATGAAGTTTGTAGTAGAATAAAACAATAAAGCTACAAGTTATTCGCAGCTTAATGAATAGAATAATTCGTTTGTTACCCTTGTAGCAATTTTGTTGAAACCCTTAAATATAGAAGTAATGTTTAAGTGATTTAGATCGAAATATTATATTTTTCGTTGATAATATTTGTTCGTGTACTTTCAACGCTATTAACATAAAATGAAAAAATGAAGTAAAGGAGTAAAGTGCGTGATATCCTTAAGAATTGTGTTGTGAAAGTTTCTTGTTTAAATTTTTAGTTTCTTTATACATTAATTTTCTTCTTTTTAACGGAAATTCCATCAGTGCCTATGAGCTTCACCCACTACTGAATTAATCCGGTTTAAGAAGTTCAACTAAAACAGGTTTACTTTCGGTGTCTAAAGACCTGTTTTTAAGCACTACCAATTTTATATTGCTATTTCTCTAGAGCTTTTGTACTCCTTACTATTGTGTGAAAACTTGATTGTCGTTGTTCTGAATTTAAAATCTTCACAAAAGGAATTGCTCAAGGGTCGGTTTTCTTAAAATATCAAGTGATTTTCCTCAACCGTCATATGTATATTGATCTGAAAGTATGTTCCACACGTGTTTTCAGTTGTTGGTAAATAAGATATTCTATAAATTACATTTTGTGTGTATACGTTACAGATGCATTATAGAATTATTGAGAATTATAAATTGTAAAATTAACTAAATAATTTTTATAAAATGAATTTCAAAAATAACTTTTAAAAGATGAAATTCCATTACTGCATTGAAAACTACACGATCAAATGTTTTGCGGATATATTTTAAATTATTTTTAACTGAATAAAATATTTTTTTACAAGAAAGACTTCCAGTTGCCCTGTGGTAAGTCTGCAGGCTTATAACGCTAAAAACCAGGTTTTGATACCCGTGGTAGCTTGACTTAATGGTTGTTGTTTTTTAGTGTAAAGCTACATTGGGCCATCTGCCGTGTCCACCGCGGGGGGGGGGGCAGTGGCAGAGCGGTATGTCTACGGACTTACAACGCTAGAAACCGTGTTTCGATACTCGTGGTGGGCAGAGCACAGATAGCTCATTGTGTAGCTTTGTGCATAATTACAAACAAACCACCGCGGGGGAATCGAAACCCGGATTTTGCATTGTCAATCCGAAGACTTATCGTAGTCCCTCCGGGGGACGCACTAAATGTTAAACAGAATTGTTTTAAAAATATCTTTTTTCAACTTTAAAAAGTCACTTATTTCACCTTTTCTTTAAATAACCAACAAAATGGTAAATTAATTTACATAACATGTTTTTCGAGTGTTCTTTTATAAAACACAAGTCAAACAAAAATGTAATTAAAAAGATTTTGAAATTTAATTCAGATGAACTCCCATAGATGGCGAGAAATGTACAGCCACATGATATTGCTCAATAGTGAAGAATGTTGTACAGCAACTAAAAACAGTGCCATGCTATTCCGTAGACTAGCTCTGCAGCTTTTCATCTCGTATTACTGGAATTATTGTTAACGGGACAATTGTTTACGTAGATTATATTTCTATAGAATTATTTGTTTGTTTTTGTTTTTACGCATTCAGTATTATATGTATTTATATATATGTGTGTGTGTATATATATATATATATATATATATAGATATATAGATATAGTTACGTTCGTTAGTTGGTTAGGTTAGGGTACGTTCTATGTAGTTAACTTAAGTTCGTACGTGTTTCGTTTTACTTA